TTTTTTAGGGGGAAGTAATTGTTTTACTTTCACTCTAGGTATACTTACTAGGGAAACTCAATCTCTGACCAATGGAAAGGTCGAGTACAGGCAGAATTAATCTCTATTTAATTTATGTAAGGGAAAAGCTTCTATTTGCTTCAAGACAGGATGATGCTATACTTTTTCTATAGAAAATTCAAAGCTTTTCTGAGAAAGACAAACGAGAGCACATTTAAAGTGAAACAAAGCCTCCTTTGCTGTAAGGTGATGGATGCTTTCTACTTATCTCTTATTTGCTGGGTATATGTTAATTCTTTCTGTCAAAGACACATCTTTTAGGCTTGGTACAGGAGCAGCGTTTGCATCACGAAAAATATAAGCACAGGCTTTTTAGACAGCTCAATAACTGCTTAAGATTACTAAACAAAGTCCCCACAGTTCTCTTTTTCAAAGGGAAATGCAGAGAAAGATTTTTGAAACTTCAAACCTTCAAACATTTTGACAGAACTTCCAGCATTTTAACACTCCCTTCAAAAGTCAGGGCTCATTTTAACAAGATACACTAGTTTTCTGCTATTTTTTTATCATTGTGTTTCAATTCTCAGGATAATGGTAGTGTACATTCCAAAGAGAGAGAAGCTGTTCTGTCTTCAGTGTCCTAGTACAATCCTTCTGACCTACTGATGGATTCAAGAGCTTCTGCTTGGTTCTTCATCCTCTTGTAGCATTTGTGCAACCTTGATATCAATACTAGACCCAGGAGCTGGCAGAGAGATTTCAAAGAACTGTAACTGCTCTTTAGAAAGAACAAAACTTCACAGCTAGACTATTCTGGCAGAATCTTTAAAGCACCACAGTTTTCAGATGTGAAAGTTTGAGCTTTCCCTCCCCCACACCCCCCTTCAATAGCTTGTTTGTGAACCAGAGCACATCCATTTACTAGCTGGTTCTTATTATTAGGAAACATATATCATTAGGAAACAGTTATTTTAAATCACTGAGCATACCGAATCTATCTTTTTCACTGTCCTGTATTGTCTTTGAATTACACAGCTCACACAGTGAAATGTCTTTCAAAGACAAAACTCTTGCAGTATGGAAATGAGAATGGGTATTGCTCATTATCTGTGATTTCACAAATTGTCTTGAAATGGTTTGTCATGCCTGGAAGCAAGCTAAGTGACAGAATAGCCAAAATGATAGACAATGACAGAGACTAAATGAATTATATTTTCTATTTTTCTACTTTGTTTTATAAAAAATATGTTCCTTTTATCCCTTTGAAACAGTAATAGCTTTGCAAAGTGCTTTCAGATACTCTGCCCTCTACTACTGAATATTTTTTTATATCTGAAAATCAGAAAAAAAAATTACAAGGAAACCCAAGGGGAAAAAGAATGTAGCTCTGCAAAACGCTAAAATCACAGAATCGCTCGGTTGGAAAAGACCTCCGAGATCATCATGTCCAACTGTTCCTGTCTACCCACTAAACCATATCCTTAAGTACCTCATCTACCCGCTCTTTAGATACATCCAGGGATGGTGACTCCACCACCTCCCTGGGCAGCCTGTTCCAGCTTCTGACGACCCTCTCAGTAAAGAACTTCCTCCTTATCTCTAACCTGAACCTCCCTGGGCACAGCTTGGCACCATTTGCCCTTGTTCTATCCTCCATCACCTGGGAGAAGAGACCAGCACCCACCTCTCTACAACCTCCCTTGAGGTAGTTGTAGGTGGTGATGAGGTCTCCCCTCAGCCTTCTCTTCTCCAGGCTAAACACCCCCAGTTCCCTCAGCCGCTCCTTATAAGGCTTGTTCTCCAGACCCCTCACCATCCTTGTGGCTCTTCTCTGAACACGCTCTAGAATCTCAACATCCTTCTTACAGTGAGGGGCCCAGAACTGAACACAGTACTCGAGCTGCGCCCTCTCAGTGCCAAGAAGCAGCAGCAGCATCCAGATCCCTTTTTTTAGCAGAGAGCATCCAGATGCCTTTTTACCAGACAAATATTTTGTGAGACCAAGGTCGACCAAGTCAAGAGGAAGCTGGAAAAAAATATGTGAACTCTTTGAAAGTAAAATTAATTACCTAATGGGAGTATTGTTTAAGGTGCATTGAACATTTTCCATTGTCTAAATAATGAAGTTGTAGTTCAGTTGTAAGTTATTGGATTCATTTTAGGAGATAATCAAATTTCATCATCTGTCTTAAGCAGGAAGTCAGAGTAAATTATTATATTTTGGTTACGAAGTCCTATTAATGCAATTAAGGAGTCTAAGTCAAAACTAAGTCTTTGAAGTTTTTACGCCTTAAAAATAAAAACAAGATGTTTGTGTTTCTGGATAAGAGAAACACAACGCTGGAGGTTCCTGTTCCCTTCTAACAGTCTTCTGGCATCTCTGTTTTGTCATTTGTACTCTCTCTCCACTTCCAGTCAAGAGATATATTGGAATAAAAGCTTCTAATCACATACAGTTTTTATTTTGCCACTTCTAATAGAAAGCTTTTTTTTCTACCAGCTTTGATTCCCATTTAAATGAACTTTTAAATCATAATATGATAAATCTATTACTGATGTAATTACTGTTTATCCAGCACTACAGTTGTGAGTGGGTGGGTGACAGCCACAGCCTGTATTTTCCTTGAAGTTATTTCAGCATAACTCTAGGGGATATTTGAGAAGGTATGTTAAGAGTATTTTTGAATTTCCTTCACAGTAGAAAAAAATTACGAGCATCTTGGCCTAATGACCAAAATCTCAGTTGGAGAAGAAAAGGCTGTATATATTGCTCATTCATTACATTCAGAGGGAGTATACATCCTGATGCTTAACTTCAACACCAAACAATAATGGTAGAAAAACTTCCAAGAGAGTCACAATTTTACACCAGGGAGTTAGTTCTGTTCCCTGTATTCAAATAAGTTAAAATAAAGTAATAAAACTTATTTTGAATTCACAGTTGATGTTTTACTTAATGGTACACTGAGAAACACTTTTTTCCAAGATTTTTTCTTCAAACTCTTTTTTTCAAACTATGTTCAGCAGTAATAAGCTGGGGAAGGAATTAAAAATGTTTAGTCAGCACAGCATTGTCATTTGAGGGCTTGCTTCAGTTTTCCTTCAAGCTATCTAAAATACCCTGGTTGATTTCAGAAGTTGAACTGAAGATTAATTCTTGGTAACCACCTATTTCTTCTCTCTCATTATATTTGAAGAAATCCTTATGTCCAAAGTAAAATATACTTATCTTGGTTTAGGTGTTTTTGTTTTTGTTTTGTTTTAAATTTTGAGGGGCAGAGACATCTACTGTATTGTGAAGGAACGGAGCTAACCACAAAGCACAAATTGCCACTTTCAATTTCTTGAGTTTTTCCCTTTTCTCCACATTTGATGTTGATCAAGGCTGTACAAGATCAATCTATGGAAACATATCTCGGAAGAACAGAACCTTATTGGACAATTACTTTATCTCAAAATGCACCAAACCAGCATATGTTGACTACTGTATATACTAGCTTTACTCCTTCAGAATGTGTAAAATATATTTTAAGTACGGAGCCTATATTATACTTGGCAAATATTACTTTCTTTGGTGAGGGAACTTCATGATTTACTGGCAGTAGGAATACAGACATGGAAAGACAGGACGCTTTTAGACAATGTTTAAGTATCAACATCTCTTTCACTGTCTGCAAGCTGGAAATACACATTCATTAACCTGTTAAAGTGTCCAGTTCAAAACTATTTTATTTTTTCTTTACTGTAGAAGGATACAATGTTGGGTTTTTAAATGATTCTGAATCAATTAAAAGGAAAAAATCTGCCTCCTAATCTGCACAAAAACATGGGCCAGAGAAGTCTCAAAGGCAGAGACTTTCATTGCAGTTTTTTCCTGTTTTTCTTCTCAGACGCTTCCAATACGAACTACTAGCTGTAGATCTCAACTGTACCACTAGGCACAGAAATACTAAAACTCTTCTTTGTAAAACAGGAAACAAAAATACAGCAGGGCAACACTTTCTCTTAGTAATAACATTTGGTAAAAACAAAGCAAACTTGTTAAGGATGAGGGTGGGCAAACAAAAGCAAAACAGGATATCCCTTCTAGTGTGTTACCTCCTGTAAAATGTTTCATCAGCGTTCTTTAAATGTCTCAAAATTTCAAGGTAAAAGTTGACAAGACTTTAAATTACATTTTATAAATACCTCTGCTGAGGAATTCTGGCTCAGTATCCAAACTACTAGAACTGGATATTTTTAATGTGGGATACATTTTTTTTCCCAGATATGGACTGTGCCTATAAAGTTGCAGGTTCAATGAAACTGAAAGGTATAGAGCACAAAAATGAAATATAGCCTTATGCAGAGCTTCCAGTATTGGAATGCATAGCTTCAAGACACCAATGAAGCCCAGGATTTAAAACCATAATTAGACAAGGATAGGAACAGTCAAGAAGAAAGAAACTCCACACAGAAAAGTTTAGGATAGTTTATATTCCAAGGAAAAACAGCTTAATAGAATCAAGTATCACTGCTCACAAAAGGAAAATTATTTTGTAGATTTTCAAGATTCAGATTTAAAGCCCAATAAGAACAATGTCTTTGGAAAGGCCAAACCTGGTAGTCAGGAAAATTTACCACAATAGATGTTTATCAGAAGATATTTTATTGCCAGCAAATACAAAACTGTTGCTTTCATTCCCTGATGTATAATTTTAAAGATAAAGCTTTTCCTTCACCACTTTTAAAGACCTGTAGATACATCGCTGTAAAAAAATTAAAACAAAAAAAGAAGAAAAATTGTGACAATAAATAAAGAAAAAGAAAAGGTGAGGAGGACGAAAGCCCAGCCCACCAAGGAGAAAATGCATTAGAAGCAACAGAAAAGTTATGAAGCGGAATCAAAGTATCCAATTATCTTCCAAGAGAAGTTTGGGAGGTTTGCACATGAAATAAAATAGCAGCAAAGAAAAACGGTACATAGAAGTGCATTTGTGTCCCACTGGGACTGGTTTTTATTAACCAAAACAGTAGTACTCATCAGAATCAGTTTTTGGATGCTTATGCACAGGCTGTGAGTCCTCCATAATAGAAGAATCACTGAACTGGTCCATATCTGAAGGCGTTTGGTGACCAGGAACATCATCCACTAAGGTGTCCAAGTAACTCCCCACTGATATTCCATCCAGTCCATCACTACAGTC